TGCTTCATAATTAGGTTTGGACGAATAATATTGATATATTAAAATTAATAATCTAGGTTCGGACATTTTATAAATATTATTTAACTAATTTAGGTATTTAATATCACTTGTACTAATATAACCCTTTAATTCTTTATAATTTTACATAGTGAGGCACTAAGTGACTAATATATCACTAACTTTTGATTTGTTTCCTTCAATTAGCTATTGAATTATAAATGTAATTTAAAAGTTGATAACTTTTGTATTTTTTATTGGTTTTACATATATAATATATCAATTAATCATCTTTTGATGATCTTAGATTTGACATCTATATTGTATATATGAAATAAATAAATTACATTTAACTTTATAATAATAAAAAATAATATTATTTATTAAAATTCATTTAAAAATAAAATTATTTCTCAATTAATAAATTTATGTTTAATGTAGTTATATGTTGTAAGTAAGAAAAATTATTATAATATAACACAGGTAAGTCGCACAAATAAAAGTGTCATACTAAATATATAATAATATATACATTTTTATAAAAAGTATTTAAATTTTCAATTACTTTTTTTCATTAATTTTAGACTTTAAGGAAAAAAATTGGCAAACCCGTGTAATACACGAACGTTGTACTAGTAATATATCTAAATATTAATCACAATTTAAATTGGAAAATAAATTCGCCAAATATTCGACAATATATTAAAGTTTGATGACTGATTTAATACTTCAAAAAATATATTAATTTTTTGAAGCCATGTGTTTGTATATATTGAATTTAAATTTTCTGAAATACATCGTTAGTTTGTTTAATTATATCGTTATTGTAAGGAGATTGGATTCTTAAACTATATACAATCGTCAAGTTAATTTAAAGAACTCTAAGGAGATTGGATTCTTAAATTATCTCAAAACCCCTCATTCTCTCTACATTCACAACTACACTCTCATTTTGCACTTTTGATTTGGAGCGAGTGTCACTTAGGCATTGGATGCGTTATGCCGAGACCCCCCCAATTATGGGTTCTTGCAGGTACCGAGGCCGTCCGAGTTAAAGGAGCACGGGTGAAATCAATTTCACTACCAGAAATAATATAAGTTTTATTATTATACTTACTAGTATTTGATCTTGTGCATTTGCAAGATATAAAACACGTTTTTGTTTGTATTTATTAATTAGATATGTACTTCTATCATATAAAAATTATTAATTTTTCTTAAGTTATTTTTATCATTCAAAATTAATTGAGATTTAAACTTTATTAACCATGCAACGTTTACATTAGTAACATGAATAAAATAATATATATATTTGTGGCATATATTATGAAAATTAACATAAATATAAAAATTATTGGTGTTTTTTATTTTTAGAAAAAAAATATGTGCCAATCATATTTTTCTTCCAAGAATTCAACCAAATATAGCGGTTACAGCTCTGAATGTGCCAATCAACTTTAAATTCCAACATTAGCCGTTACATTTGAATATTTTGCTACCAAATTTAGAATTAATTTAGTAACTGAACCAAAAAATAAATAATAAATATATATATTAAGGTGTAACGGTTTTAGCATATTAGTGAGTAATTAATTAAAAAAATTTAACTCCTTTTGGAGGAAAATGAAAATAGGTTTCATTAAATGTTTTATTAAATGCATCAGCTAGTACTTATATATATGAATTATTTACATAGATTTTTAATATATGATCAAATTTTACCAAAATAATTATTTTATTGAACCACACTGTAGTCAAATCAGATTTGTGAATAAAAATTTTAAAACGACACTTATTTTGAAAGAAATGTAATGTAATTTATTATCAATTATGTGTACCACGAGTTGTGTAATATAAATATACATGTTTTACGTAATTTTGTACAATTTAAACTTCATATAATTCAACAAATTAATATAACAAAATTGTATTATATATTGATTTAAATTTTCTAATTTATAAACATTAATGAAATTTTTTCACCCGTACTTCGCACGAGATTCGGACTAGTTTAATTAGATAGAAGAAAGACCATGTGTAAAAGGATAAATGAGTCTTTTCTGATTGTGTAATTTTCCATTAACTTTTACATACTTTTGCGGGTCAGGGCCGGTCATTTAAACTAAACAAATAGAGTCTTTCACAGGTTATTTCAACCAATTCCCTCATAAACACTCTGCACAACGAATGTGAGTTATGCCTTGTTTCTTATGGCGATTTCTATCTTCTTCCCCAATTCGCCACGAATCAGGTAAATCCATCTGCTGCTCTCAATCCTCGCTACTTTCTCGTTGTTTTTGTACGAAAAAAGCTGTTGCTAAATTCAATTTCCGTCAAGAAATTAAGAACATTAATGGGTTGGATGATGCTCTTTGCCTGTATGAGAATATGTCGAGAACGAGGCCTCTACAGAGTACTGTTCAGTTTAATCAATTGCTCTCGCGTGTGGTCAATCTGAAAGAGTACTCTGCTGCTATTAACCTTTTCAAAGACATCTGCAGTTTAGGGGTTTCAGTCGATGAATACACTATGAATGTTGCTATCAACAGCTTTTGCCTTGCGGGCCGGGTCGATAACGGGTTCTCCATTCTGGGTTGGTTCTTCAAGCGGGGCTGTTCTGCGGATGCATATACCTTCAACACCTTACTGAAAGGCCTATTTCGAGAGAAGAGGATTAACGAAGCACAAGAGTTGCTAAGGAAGATGGTTGGAGAAGGGCTTTGTGAGCTAGACATTGTAACTTGCAGTATCGTGGTCGACGGGCTTTGCAAGGTTGGTAACACCTCAATGGCCATTGAATTCCTCAGAACAATGGAAAAAGGGACACTCAAGCCCAATGCACGTATATATAGCATTGTTATCGATGGCCTGTGTAAGGATAGAATGATAGAATCAGCCTTGGCACTTTTCAACGAAATGCACGAGAAGGGAATCCCGCCGGATGTCGTTACTTACAGTTCTTTGATAGGTGGTTTGTGTAATTTCAGCCGTTGGGAGGAAGTAAAAAAGCTGATGAAGGAGATGATGTTCTTCAAGATGTATCCAGATGCGGTCACATTCGTCATCTTGATTGATGCTTTATGTAAGGAAGGAATGACGGATGAAGCAGAAGATGTAATCAAAATCATGAAGCAGCAGCGTGTAATTCCAAATGTCATCTGTTACAATGCATTAATGAGCGGATATTGTCTTCAAGGGCGTATGGATGAAGCAAGGAATGTTTTTGATTCAATGGGTAGTAGCAAGAATTGTGCTCCTGATGTTATTAGCTATACCACATTAATCAATGGATATTGTAGAAAGATGAAGATGGATGACGCTATGGTTATCTTCCACGAGATGCCCCGTAAAGGGATCAAGCTTAACGTGGTTGTGTATAACACTATACTGGAGGGTTTCTTTCGTGTGGGCAATTGGCGCGTAGCGCTTGATATTTTCTATGAGATGCAATCTGTCGGACTAAAACCTAACTTCTATACATACTGTAATATGTTGGATGGATTATGTAGGAATGGGCAAGTCGAGAGGGCTTTATCGTTGTTAGAAGCATTAGAGCACAAGGGACAACATCTTCATAATGAATACTATAACATCGTCATGGGTGGTTTGATCAGGTTCAATAAGCTTGATGCAGGTCGAGCTATTTTAGAAGATATGGTTTCGAAGGGGTTGGAATGTGATGTGGTGACCTACACTGTATTGATTAAAGGATGTTGTCAAAACGGGCTATTAGAAGAAGCTAAGGATCTTCTTTTCAAAATGGAACAATCAGGTTTGTCTCCGGATGAGGTTACTTATAACACTATGGTCCGAGGAAACCTAGCAGGTGGCCGATATGATGATGCAGAAATGTTTCTTGAGGAGATGGTTGCCAAAGGATTCTTGCTAGATTTAAAAACATTTGAGATGCTACTTAGATTATTCGACTCGAAGGAAAAGAGTCCCAAAATATTTAAAATTATTCAGAAGCTGGCGCCTAATAGTTTAAAACAAAAATTAGGTGCAAAGTAGATTCTTTGGAAAAGGTAATCATAATGTGGATGAAATGCATAAAAATTATTGATCTGTGCTTTAAATCAAGGTTGATCACCATCAGTTAAGCCGACAACTTTTGGGGGTATGCCTTGTCTTTTAACTCAATAGGACAAGTCTTGTGTTGTAACACTCTCCCCCCTGCTTTTGTAATTTTTTGCTGCATGAATTATTATTTGATTTGCCAAGTTTTATACATTGCACACTTAAAAGAAGGAAAAACACCGCCATGTGAGATGATCTTTCGAATTTCTATTCACCTTCCTTTCGAGTTTTCTATTATAACTATTAAAGAGTTTATTTCAATTTGTTTGGATTTTGTTTGGAAGTGTTGGAATATATACACTATACAGGGATAACTAATTCAGTATTGTGCCGAGAAGGGCTAGCTTAGTTAGTAGCACCCTTCACTTGAGACCATTAGGTCTCGAGTTTGAGTCACGAAAAGGATAAGCCGCACAACTAATCTGCATTCTTTGGTTAGGCTTTTAGGTTTGTCCAATTTTATGATGTGGTTCGTAGGAACAAAGAGCTCGAAGATTTCATAAAAAAAGAAATGGAATTATCTTATACATGGGTGTGATTTTGGATATAAATTAACTCGGTTCCTAAAAGCGACTTCTTGTATAACAAAAACCGACATCAATATTAAATAAAGTATGCTCATTAACAGCTTTCTTTGAGCTTTGCCGACAACAAATTGTTTCATAAGTCACGCCATGACTCCATAGCAAAATTTTGTATTATCATAACCTTCAATTTATAAAATTCTAAAAATAAATACAGTTACAAACTAGTAATAATAATAATAATAATAATAATAATAATAATAATAATAATAATAATAATAAATAAATAAATAAATAAATAAATAAATAAATAGATAAATAAATAAAACAGCAGTCCGAGGCCACGAGCGGCCAGAGGCAAAGAGCGGGAAGGGGAAAAGTCATTCTTAAGCCCCATAGAAGATGAAATTCAGCGTGAAGGTGTGGAGCCAGGGCGGCGCCGCCCGGGCTGGCGTGCTGCAGGTCGGCGGCTTCTCGACGGAGACTCCTGCTCTCCTCCTCCATACCCGTAAGGGCCTTCCCGCTTTCATCTCCCCCGACCTTCTCTCTGCTCTCCCTACTCCTGATTCTCGCCTCCTTCAATTCAGCCCTCTTCACTTGTACGTTCTCTCTCTCTTTCTCTCTATCTCTCTCGCTATATATATGTATGTATAGATATGCCTTTATATATCCGTTCCTCGTTCTTTCGGTTATACTCGAGGGTTACTCAGGTTTCCACTTCAAATCTTTGTGCTGCGGATAAAGTATTTGTTATTTTGTCCAGCCGAGGAGCTGGTTATTTGATGATGAACCATTTTACATTGGTGTTAGTTGTTTCCCTCACATGTGTGTGTACGTGTGCGTATTTCTAGCTCGGAAGGCATCTCTCTCAAAACCATATCCGATTTGGGGGGCCTGCACAAGATGGTGGGTTTGGATGAACACGCGTTTGTGGCTGTTCCGAGGGATTCAGTTATATCCCTACCAGATTATCAGAGCACGAACAAGATTGGAGCTTCTTTCGAGACCCCTTGCGGTCGGCTTCTGGTAACAATTTCAGTTAGTTCCACGATTTTGGGTTTCTTCTGTTTTTTGGTTTCTGTAGGGAAAGTTTGTGTGATGGCTTGTGTATTGATGTCATTGTGGGTCATAACAGATGAAACCGCTGCAGTATGTGGAGATGATATCCTCAATGAAACCCAATATGTGGGCCACTTTGGCAGACGAAGTGCCTACATGGGTTTCTCAGAAGAGAAACAGGGCTTCGGTCGATCGTACTGTGAGATGGCTCGATGATTGCCTAAAATCAGATTCCGCCAACAATGTGCGTTTCTAATTTGGTTCTTCTCTGTGTATAATGGTGTAACTTATCTCTTTCTTACTTGGGTTAATGCTTCACCTACATGAAAAAAAAAAACTTAAAAGAATCATGAGTGACTAAAGATGATTCTCTCTTGTAAATCATCTCTTCACTCAGAATAGAAAGGTGTATTTACCAATGAATCCTATTACCTCTCTGGTTTACCTCATTTTCTCAAAATCTTAGTTGTTTTGCCCTTTTTGGACCAACCACGAGGAAATAAAGATGTTGCACCATTTCATTAGAGTTTTGTAGCTGGGTTCCGTCGATGCTCATACAATTTACCTCCTTTTTCCGATCCTCTCTGTTTATTAGATTCTGCTGTGTCTATAAAGTAAAAACATAGATACATTTTTTATTTGGCAATTTAATATGCTAGTCCATTTCTGTTATGTGTATCAGTCACATTTTAGCGGCTCATGAAATACAGTAACATTGGAACAAGCTAGGTGAACACTTTATATAGAATGGTTCTAATGTTTTATAAATGACCAGGTAATAATTTTCATGATAAGAGGCTAAAAAGGAGGTTCACTAGAAATAGGGAAAAAGGTTGAAAATGTTGAACTAGAATATGAATTGATACCCGTTTCATGATATTGACGATTCTATGACTGTTCTTCGTAAACTCTTGAATAGCTTTCCTTTCAGTTAATTACTCAAATACAGACAGGTGGAGCAGTCTTTGGGTCCATTGTAGGAGGCTGTAATATTGAAGAACGGAAACGCTGTGCACAAGAAGTTGCAAAGAGAAACGTTTCAGGTTTCTATCGCCAGTTACTCATACTAAAATGTTTTCTGGAAAATTAAACATGATTCCCAAATTTGAATGCCTCCAGCGCTATTATTTAATGGAAGAAAATTTGCCTCATTTTCAATGAAGAAGATTATCTTTGTAGGGCTGGAGCTGTAATGCCCAGGAGAAATGGGATAAGTGAAATGTCTTCAATCAGTTAATTCAATTTATTTGGGTTGGATGTTACCGTCTGAAAGCTAAAATATTTTTGGTTTACAAACTCCGAAAACTTGGAAGTAATGCCTGATTTCTTTTCATTTTCTTTAAAATAACTAAAACAGGGTGCTGAACAGAGTATAATAGATGCCGTATCTTTCATCTTTATTTTTTAAAGAAAAAATGAAATTGTTGGATTTTTAGCATGCGATTGCAAAATATGACGAAAATAGAAAATGTTGGTGCAGTTTGCTTTCTGATTTTGATAAGCAGAAAGGACTGTTTTCTCTCCATTTGCATTTGAAAACCAGAGTGCACTGAGGAGGCACTATGTATTTAAGGATTCTTACCTTTTTGCTTTTAAATATTTTCCCATTTTCCTTAATGTGAGTTTGTTGTATTATTTAGGTTTTTATTTAGGTGGGTTTGGGCTTGGAGAGAGTATGGACGAACGCCCTTCTATTCTCAGTGTTATTACCGTATGAGTTTTCTTGTTCATTGGAAACTTGTTATTTCTTTAATTTCTATAGTTATGCGAATTATTTGGCATAGTGCATTCTAGGAGGAGTCAACCATATGTCTATCTCCCAAATTATGTATGATATTTGAAGTCCATTTCACATGTTTATCCATGCATTAGATGAAGTTATAAGCCAGTCAAGTATCCATAGCATTGTTTTAAAAGTCCATCGACCACCCTCATTCGCCATCTACCTTTGTTTATTCCTGCATAGCCTCTAGTCCTCCTCGACTGTGACTAGGCTAGGCTAATCATACCCTGCCTAACCCCTAGACCTACATAGAGGCTCGTCGTCAACCTGCCACCAATTTTGAAAACTTGATTAAAAGGGATATTTGTACATATCCAGATATTTGGTTGTTGAAGTTAACTGGTTTGTGGAGCAGTAAGGAAATAATACAATGGAGAAACTAAGAACTAAAGTCCAAGAGTTCTTTTATCAGTAGGATTCTATGCTAATCCAAGTACATTACAATTCTGCTTATAGTGGTAGCCTGCATGTATCTACTGCAAATACTATGATCAAAAGTTGATGCAGAAGAGCTTATAGAGAAAGTGAAGGTTGTCTAGATGACTAGGCTCTGATTTCATGCCTGTCAGTTGGATAATAGGATAATGCGAAAACTGATCATATTCATATTGCTCACCAGATATCTAACTCAGATGTTGGTTTAACTTAATGAATGTTGGCATATTCTCCACTTGCTCAGTTGTCTCTTTGCTTGTAACTTTAGGAAATGTTACCAGAGGATAAGCCACGCCAGATCTGTGGTCTTGGGCTTCCAGGTATTTGTTAATCTTGTATCCACAACCTCTTTGTTTAAGTTTCTTGCAAGTTGCCATCAATCTCCAGTAGCTTTGCAGTTCATATGGTTCATAATATGATGATTGTATTTGGTCTATCATAATACGAAGTACACCCTAAAGTTATGCTTTACCTTTATGGAACAAATGGATGCTGAGCTAGCCATTTGAGTAGGATGAAAGAGTTTCTGCATGCATTCACCTTTCTAATTATTTAGACGTTTGTCGACTTTTGCTCAGTACTGAATCTTATCCAATTCTCAACTTTGCAGAAGAAGTCTTGCAAGGTGTTGCTGCTGGTGTTGATTTATTTGACTCCACGTATGTTGCCAGTCTGCTATTACAATCTTTATCTTTTTATAAACTTTATGGTACTAGTTTTTTAGCGAAAAAACTGAAACAAACTCGGGAATGCATGACAGATATATATACCATCTTACACTTGGAGCCTTTGCTCTTACATTCCCTCTAGAGGAAAATGGTAGACACAATAGCTATGGTGATCAGCCGTGTGATACTGGTGACGATGGCACGAAGATCAATTTAAGAGCAACCATTTACAGGTTATAATTTTATGGTTTATTAAATAACATGTCAAAGTCTGATGCAACTCATAGCAGTTGACATGTTATATAAGAATGAGCGTTGTCATGTCAAATGAATTTTATTTATTTGTTTACTGGTTTGAATTTACAAACTTCGCAGCTGTGTGCTTCTTTTTTACTGAAATTTAATGAAATATTGTAGATCTTCATCTTTCTTGTGATATATTCTTTTACAGGAAAGACATGTCACCAATTCTCGATGGCTGCAAGTGCTACACATGTCAGAATCACACGAAGGCTTATATAAACCATTTGTTTAACGTTCATGAGATGCTGGCTCATATTCTGTTAGAAATGTATGCAATGAGATCACCTCAGTCATTAAATATGCATTATTATTCGATAAGTTTCACCCTAACACAATTTTTCTACAACTTCTTTCCCAGCCATAACACGCATCACTATCTAGGATTCTTCCGTGCGATTAGAGAAGCAATTAAAAGAGGCGTGTTTGAGGAGTTTCGCCTAAATTTTGTTCGAAATAGACGTGACCATATTCTTGCCACAGCTTTTAACGTCTGATAAAATATGCATACAGCCTGTTGAGGGCACGTTTAAGGGTCACGAAGAGGACCTGGAAGGCTTCTCATTGATATGTTTGAAGATTATCTGCAGCTGAGAGTGTAATGGTATGTGGCTGTCGGGACAGACAAACTATAAATTTTGCAATGTTTTCGACTCTATTTTTCACAAAAGAAGAAAAATTGTCCAGTCTGAACTTGTAAACCTCTCCAAACTTGGGGTTTCATATTTCGAACGGCTGTAATATTGAAATTTTCAATTTGTATCATTGAATGATCACCACAGTTTGTATAACTGTACTGTTGGTCATTAATGATTGGTTTGATCAACTTGATGATCCAGTTACAAACTCCGACGGAATGACTTCGTTACGGAACCGTTGTATTTCTCATAAACCTACGGCGTGTTTACTTTGAAGGACAGGAAAAGATTCCCCTAATATCTCATGTTTACATAATCGGATTGGGACAAGATTGTAGTGATGTGTCATCCATGTGGCTGCGGGTCCCACAGGCTAATCCATTTTTCGCCGATTATATTTGTCCCGCCTCCCCCACGGGATTTTTTAATCCCGAATGCTAGTGGACGATTTTGCCCTCACTTTTGAATGTTAAAGGACAGCAACACCCCTCAATCTCCAGCTATTTACATTGTCCATCTCTCCATTTTTGCATCAGAATTTTACAGAGGAGCATTTCCACGTTGTCCTTCCCTTTCATTTTTTGTTTCTGAAATCTGAATTTTTTGTCTTCTCCATCTCATACTTAATTGAATAATATCAACATAATTATAATACCTAATAGAAGCCTAAAAATCCAATCATGTGAGGCATCATAAACTTGGGTTTTCTTTTCTTTTCTTCCAAGTCGGAAAGAAAAAATGCCACAAGAAGAGAAGGAATGGAATCGGATCTCATTTCACTCGTGCTCGTCGGATTAGGTTTCGAACATCGCTGGTATCCCGCACTCGTAACCAATTTTTGGGCTAACACCTCGTCGTCCTCCGAATCACGTAGTTGATGTCCGAACACGACTCGTCGGTGCCCTCGCCGTCCTCGAAATTAGGGTTTTCGTCTAGACCTGGCTTCTCTTCGACGGGCGCGATATTGTTCCCCGATGAATTAGGTCAAGAAAGAGGAACTACACATGTAAAGGGTGAAAGGAGGGGTAAAGTAGTATTTTGATTTTAGACCATATCAATTAATCATGCAAAGTAAATGAGGGATTCTTATATCAAAATTCTATCTCACTGCTGAGCTGTAAAGTGCAGGATTATTTTGGTATATCCCATCCCTCAAAGTAAATGAGGCCCTAATGTATAATTCATCGTCATGACCGGGGTAACAATAACATAATCATCCACATTTACTGGTAAGTCAAGTTAAAAAATGATGGAGACGAGACCGCATTGGCGTTCTTAGATAAATATGACAAGCTTAGTATTTAATTGATTTATTTTCTAGTTATTATTTCTCCTTTTATTTAGTTTCTTAGTTATTTAGTAATTTCCATAATAATTATCTATCATAACTTGTTGGGAAAGATAAGTAGAATAGGAGTCTTATTTATATTTCTAAGTGTTCAGTTGGAAGGACGTTTTGGTTTTGAATAAGAATTATTAAGTTTATCGTGAGTTCATCTCATCTTCTCCCTTTTGTCTACCACGCTCTACATCAGTTGGTATCAGAGCCAGCCAATGTGCCAGCGGTGACCGCTGGGCCCACAAGGAGGGGTGGATGATGCAGCGCATCCCACATCGGGTTTTAAAGAAAACGAAGCAGGCCTTATATGAGGATGTGGATACCTTCACTAGTAAGACGCATTTTGGTGGGTGTGTATTGAAGCCCAGCCAATAACAAAGTCGTGCGGGTGGCGGAAGTAGCCCAAAGCGGACAATATCTTACTAGGGTCTGCATCAGTTGGTATCAGCTGTCGGGACGATTCAAGATGCCGCCAAAACGGGACAACGATAGACGGGATGCCCATCTCGAAGATTTGGATCGTCGGACCGACGATCTAGGGTTCCAAATCGATAGGGTGGATCGCCGTGTCGAAGGTCTTGCTGAGGGGATCGAAGAAATCCGCCTTGCTATGCGCACGATGATGAACGGCGAGCAGGCGAATCGCGACACCACGGGCCGGGGTGGTCGCGGCGGACGTGGAGGAAGGGGCGGTTCGGGTTTGCGGCCGAATCCTTCTCAACTCGGGGAGGATGATGGAGACGAGACCGCATTGGCGTTCTTAGATAAATATGACAGGCTTCGTATTTAATTGATTTATTTCCTAGTTATTATTTCTCCTTTTATTTAGTTTCTTTAGTTATTTAGTAATTTCCATAATAATTATCTAACTTAACTTGTTGGGAAAGATAAGTAGAATAGGAGTCTTATTTATATTTCTAAGTGTTCAGTTGGAAGGACGTTTTGGTATTGAATAAGAATTATTAAGTTTATCGTGAGTTTATCTCATCTTCTCCCTTTTGTCTACCACGCTCTACATAAAAAAATAATAAATAAATAAATAAAACTTTCCATATTTACTGGACCAAAACGGTTAATCTTCCACATAGTAAAGTTGTTGTTTCTATTTTTTTGTGAAGGAACGGATTTTTTTTTTTTATTATTATTTTCAGTTTAAATAGAAATTTCCATAAGAGGCAGACTAATGATTATGACTCTGAATATGAGGAGTGATGAATATTCTACTTTCGAGTATGTTATTGTGTGCACAATAATGGAGCAATTTATATATTAAAAAAAAAATAAAAAAACATGTGGACACAAAAAAAAAAAGAAAAAAAAGGGAGCGAAAAATAATAAAAATCACGTGTTTAAGGAATACGTTTTCCATACAATTTGTGTAGAAAACGTATTTCTTAAATACGTTTTTTCAGATTTCTTTACAAAAGAAAACGTATTCAGTGAATACGTTTTACAATTAAAAAAAATGGTAAAACGTATTCACTGAATACGAGGTTTTTACTTGGTCCACTCTCATTTGTTTGTGTATTTTTTTTTTCCACACCTTAATTCTTTTTCAATTTTCTGGTAAAAAATTCCACAATATTGTCTAGCATCTTATCTCTTAAACGAACAAACATAATGTTTTGGTTTTAAATTGAATAAATTAAAAATATTAAACATAAAGTTTAATAAATTCAAAATATTCTACTGGTTTTGACTAAATAATAATTGACTTAAAATAAAGTCAAACTTTATCTTTCACATTTATCATCACTCCATATACAGGAATCTTTCCAGCTCTATATATGCGCTTCAGCTATTTGTTCTTGTCAAATATATACTGCACCATAAAGTTTTATGTATATCACCATATAGCTTGTAAAATGGCTTAAAAGTCAATGCATAAGAATTAATAGAACACTTACTTCTTGATTTCCCATGTTGTCAATCAGTGTCTATATATATAGTAATCATTACTGTTATTACAAAGCCACATTGGTAATAAGTAGGTAAAAGTTGTCTGAGATTAGAAGAGAGAAAGAAAAATGGCGGGAGGCGGCAGTGGAGAAGGAGCCTCGTTGGAGTATACCCCGACATGGATAGTCGCGCTCGTTTGCACTATTATTGTTTTCGCCATATCTTTGCTTGCCGAAAGAATTCTTCATTTTTCCGGCAAGGTCTGTCTAATCTCTCGCTGCATCATTTTTTCGTTCATGATTTTGTATATGAACAATTTTATTTATAACAAACCTTGATAATGCTCAAGCGAACTTTACATTGGTTTACATGCAGTATTTGCTGAAGAAAAACCAGGGCTCTCTGTATCAAGCCCTGCTCAAAATCAAAGAAGGTGTGTTTAAGTAAAATCGGCCATTTTGCTTCGTGTGCTTTTTTTAAATTTTCGTTTTAAAAGAGATCATAAGAGTGTTGTTTTCTCGACTTTTTGTGTTTATAACACACAGAATTGATGTTGATGGGGTTCATATCTCTAATGTTGGCCGTGTTTCAAACGAGAATCGGTAAAATATGCATTCCCAAGAGGTGGATGAACCATTGGCTCCCTTGCAGTAATTATCATGATTATAATAAAGCAGCAAAATCAACTGCGCATTTCGAGGCCTTCTCACGCCGCCTATTGGCAGAGGCAGCTGACGGCAAAAGTTATTGCGAGGCCAAGGTTTTCTTCCTTTTCTTCTTCTTTTTTTAAATGGTAATCTCATCGACATGCAAGATAGCAGATTTTAGTTACTACTGTTATTTTTCTTTTGGTGGTTGGTTGTTTCGGTTTGTGATTTTTGTGAGTTAGTTCACATTTCGTTATTGGAAATGCCTCTGATGTTTAATTCAGCATTGAAATTAACTGTCCAGTTGTACGATTTTCGTGATTTTCGATTTCCTTTAACTGGAAATACCGTGTCTACTTTTTTTTTTTCTTTTTTGCGCATGACGTGCTTTCTTTATTGCTGATTGCCAGGGAAAGGCGCCGTTGTTATCAGCTGAAGCATTGCACGATCTCCATATCTTCATCTTCGTGCTGGCCGTGACTCATGTCGTGTTCTCTGCTTTGACATTTGTCTTTGGGGGATCAAAGGTAGAAAAAAAAAAAAGGTGAAATTTTTAGTACCACATTTTGGGTTTTACATTTCAAGACCGGCTCGAAAGATACCGAAACTAAATTCTTGTCTGAAAATTTTTGGGCAGCTATGGGAAATAAAATTACTCATGTTGGAGACAATGCTTTCATCAGAAAGCGGTTATCGGGCGCCAGCAAAGTCGGTTTTTTCAGATGGTTGGTAAGTCCACGTGTTCTTGGTCATGCTCGATAGCCGAATGGAATGGAAAGCTTCATTTACTAATTTTAGCTAATAAATAAGTGAGCAAGATAATATAGTCTAGCAACCAAATTTTTTATTCAAACTGGTATCTGTTTTCACTTTCAGAAATCATTTTTCAAGCAGTTTTATGGATGATCAGTGAGTAAATTAGATTACACTACCCTGCGGCTCGGCTTTGTTATGGTACACGGCAAAGCAATTTTTTTAATTTTTTTTTTTTGTTCTTTTTTTCATGCTCTAGAAGATGTGAATCATACATCATTTAGATTCTAGTTTTTCGATGTGAACTATTTTTTTGGACTTGTACATTCAGTACCACTGTAAGACGAATCCGAAGTTCAACTTTTACAAGTACATGATCCGAGCTTTTTCGAAAATGATTTCAAGAAAGTGGCCGGGATAAGGTTAGCTGTGAAGGAACTCAGAAACCTTAAAATTACAGATGTTGCTCCAATAATTGGGAACAATATTTAGGTGC